AAAGCCAACTCTTAACAATATTAACTATGAACAAAGCCACAATGTGCTAACCGTATTCGGAAATTAAAAACACCCCTACCACAAACTAAGACATACACATAATGCACACACTCGAGTAAGCTGATAATCAAATCATCCTTGATAATGGCTAAAGGTATAGCCAAAAGCGCTCGGAAATATAAAACATTCGGACAGTTCTTACACACCCTTTGTCCAGAAAAGAAAGCTCTTGTCAGAACACAAGAAAAATTAAATAAAAAGCTCAACCGTAGTACCTTGTCTGTCGTTTTTAATGAAACATGCATATATATATATATATATATATATATATATATATATATATATATATATATTAAAAAGAAGAGGGTCGATTCTATATATTGCCAACACACAAACAGAATGTCTCATATCGAGAATATTCCACATTGAACATGAAGAAAAAAATTAATAATATGTAAAAATCTCTTTCACCTGAAGACGGTTGCGAGACCAGACCAGAAACACGTGTCGTGAAATTATGTAAAACAAAGTATAATATTTTTTTCTCAATAAATCCACATTATTTTGCGGCACCCCTCTTCTTTTTAATATACATACTTTTTTCTCTCGTTGGAACCACTACAACATATTTTTCTTTTATATATATATATATATATATATATATATTGCAAGGAATAGATTATTATTCTTCATAGAGAATAACCTAACCTACCTTTCATTTTTGATAGGATTAGGTTCTCCCATTATGTGGGCTCTATTCATTCTAAATGTTTAAGAAAATTATCTAGTGACACACAATCTCAGTTGAAGCATTTAATTAGTAAACGGTTTGGACATATTGTGGAACCAATTTCGGGAGTTATCGTAAACCTGTCTACTTACGAGCTTTCTGAGCTAGAGTCTAGTATACTTTCGCATGGCCTTGACCCTTGCGTTCCATTTAGGGTTCCTGATAAGGAAAAAAATTTTTCAGAATTTGAAGTGTTATCTTCGCAGTTGTGCAGACTTGTGCCTCGCTCTTCTGACTCACTTTCTAATCTTAAGGCTACTCTTAATAGTTTGACACATACTTATACTTTAACTCCTGTAGCCCTTTCTGAGTCTAAGTGGAGTCAACAGCACCGGTCCGTAGTCAGGACTTTAAAAGCAAATAATAACTTGGTTATTACTCGTCCTGATAAAGGGGCTGGTATTGTCCTATTTTATTTTTATTTTATTTTGTTATATGTATTATCAATATTATCATTACCACCAACGCACAGCACCATCACTTACACATCACACCCACTATTAACATATAAATCCACTACAATCTTTATTACTCCCCAGCATATTTAATACCTTAAAACAATATGATCAGATATAATTTCCATATGTAACCATGAGAATAAACACCTATTACCAGGCAGCTTTAATATAATAACAATAATAATTTTGTAATTAAAAATTAAAAATTATAGCAATCTTCAACTACCATAATTTTACACAGAATACTTATTATCAGGATTTATACCAAAATAAATTAATACATATAATAAAATAAGACAAAACAACACCAACAAACACTTTTTAGTTCAAGCTACCACCACTAGCTACCACCACTATAACTACATTCATGGTTTTATCATTCTCCCACCACCGTTACTAATCATTTCTACCAATTTACAATTTCTACCAATTTACAATAACTATTAGCTAACTATCATTGTCTCCAATCCCTTGAAACATTACTATCACATCATATCATATAGACCCGTTATTAAATTGAACTACCCTCTCACCCAGCACATTAAATATTAAACATCACCATATAAATTAACTAATAAGGATTACAAATTTCTATCTGTTACATATACACAGTCACCAAATACAAACAAATAACCAGCTTTAAATATAACAAATAAACCCCCATTTTTGTTTTAAAAATTTAAAAATATAAATAATAATAATTTTTACCTATCATAATTTTACACAAACCCCACCACACGTATATACATACATGCGAGGAAATATTTTTCAGCGGAAAAATACATAATATGACATGTATACATTCACGAGACATTAACGAGACATTTCCGCCACACTTCCAATGTTTAAATTTCAACATTTCAACATACAAATGTGTATGTATAGACATAACACCACCCGTATACATACATATGTCATAGCCGAAACTGCCCACATATGTTTATATATGTATGAGTCCCGACGGACGACCAAGTATGTATATGTGTCTGCATACATCGACGTTTGCGTTAGTACGATGAATGACAAAACGACGAAGTTTCCCCCACCACTTCCACAATAACACCAAAACACGCAATCTACATAAACCCAAATTTTTTAAAACATTAATCAGTTTGTCTAACGATCGCTAAAGCGTGAAACCCAGGGAAACAAACTCACATCTATCCAACCAAATATATATATATATATATATAGATAGATAGATAGATAGATAGATAGATAGATAGATAGATATAATATTATTGGAAAATATACATACATATGCAAAATATATAAATACCCATACATGTATATTTTAGAAAAAAAAAAAATTACAAGAGGAAGAATCCAGGTAGAACTCAATGTCTAGCACAGAGTAAGGATATAAAAATGGTCAAATTTATTCCGTGGAATCGGGTGTGTCATCTTCTTCTTACCATTATATCTTATTATTATTACATTCCGTCTTTTTTTTTCCTTCGTCTTTATCCTCATCTTTCTTTTTTTACAATGATATTCACTCTGTATAAGGCCCGAGACCACTCGAAGTAATGTGTTACAGACTAAAAGTCACATTTTATTCGGATATGTGGAGGAAGATAACAGTGAATCCTAGAATCAAACAGGTTAAGATTGAAATAATCGAGAACTCTTCACTCTTGACAGTTGGTTCCACAGAACAGCACTTCGCTATAATGTGCGTAGCATGCCGAATCTTCGCCATGAAGGTTCGACTGGTGCAACTAAGGAATGTAGTTTGTCTGATCATTGACACCCATATAAGGTAGCCGTATTCCATTTTAGACAGGATCTGGGCCTTGTAAAGATAAACGATAGCATGAGGAGTCAGGTACTTACTGGAGCGGTACAGGGAACCGAACATTTTTTCCAGCATCCTTAACGATGGATCCTATATATGACTTCCGCTTGAGTTCTAGGTGGAGTTTAAAACCCACCATACGCTCAACGCACGGGGTCTCCCAGAGGGAAAACATTCGTTCATCGTGGTCAAGTAGATACGTTATGGGCTGCGTATCTCTACAAACATAGCAGAATTGCCAGATGTGGTCTAGTGCTTCTGTTTCTGCTATGTCAACAGACATTAAGCAATGTTATCGGTCCTGACGTGGCATCTCGGCTCCAATCGTTTTAGCACCTCCGTAACTTCCCTCTTTCTCTTCTATAAATATTTTCATAACAATCGTTTTGATGTCCTTTCTCCCCAATTATGGGTTAAATAGCAAAGTAGTAATATTAGCCCGTAAGTGAATATAATGGAATCGACTGGAATTCGAACTCGGCTCTCCGATTCCTTAATCCGAGCCGCTATTCATTACTCCACCGTGCCTTGGGGCTCCTTAAACTTTAACAGATATGGGATCTTATTCGCTACCAGCTAACAGATTCGAGAATTCGACAGCTAAAATAAAGGCTATGAATATCTTCTTGCGAGTTTAACAAGTCCATACAACTGGAGATTTGGTCGCTGCAAGACTCCAAGGAAATTTTAATATTTGACCAATTACAGGGGAATTTCGAGGCCATATGAAATGGGTATTAAAACATATTCTAAGTTCGACATCAGCTACTTAAACCATTGGCTTATGATTCTATCACTAAAATGGCCTGATTTTAATAATAAACACTAAAAAACCGATTTTTTTGAAGAATTCACTCATTAAAAATTGTTGCTTCTGGCCCCCTCTAGGATTAGAAAACATGAAGCTTAAGCTTCATTAGTTTCATAATCGATACGTCACTGGTTGACGTACAATATTTCACAATAATTCTTTTTATTTTTTCTTTATGACCCGTGTCTTGAGTGTCTATTGGGTCTTAAACTCGACGTAGAACCCCAAGTTGAGCTCGTAATATTCACAATCCATCGTTAAAGATGATGGGAAATGACCGGTTCCTGTACCGCTCCAGTAAGTACCTGACTCCTCATGCTATCCTCTTCCTTTACAAGAGCCAAGTCAGGCCTAATATAAGAGTACCACTGCCATATGGACAGTCTAAATAGAATCCAAAAAGCGTCTCAATGTCCTTGTGGATGACGATTTGTTTTCTACCAAGCTATCTTTTTCTCATAAACGAAACATCGAAAAGCTTCTGGCTACTCTATTGCTGTTCACATAGAAAGTGCTCAGTCGAAATATATTTGTTAGTTCTGCCAGTTCTAACCTTAGCGACTATGACCCACCATGCCGCGCACATTGCACCTGTGGAAAGCAATGTGGACAAACAATGAAAATAGTCTACTTTGCTATTTAACCCATAGTTGGGGGTAAACGAAATCAGAACGATTGTTATGAAAATATTTATAGAAGAGAAATAGGGAAGCTACGCCACGCAGGTGAGAAAACGATTGAAGCCGAGATGCCAGGTCAGACCCATAACTAATACCCTTACGTATTCTTCTCCTCCCAGTAAATAGCAGAAAAGATCTTGGATGGCAACTGGCCTTACTGCAGAAAGAAATGGCAACCTAATGCGGGAAAAAATCTGCCTCGTCAGACATGTATCGAAAGATACATGATCGCCTAAGTGTGTATCACGCATGGCACATAACTGATTGAGTGAAAGTATACGTCCGTCACTGACGTCAAATGTAAAACTGAAACTTGATTCGAGTTTATCCATGAAAATGAACCATTCGGGAAAAATTATTATGGAACAGACTCCCGAGAGTATGCTTCCCCGACTGCTACTATCGTAACCTCTTCAGGTCAAGGGTCAACCATTATCTACAAATTCTCACTTGTTAATCGGCTTACGACTATATTACGTTGAAACACCGGTTCTCGTACGATCATCGAAGTTAAGCAACGCTGAGCCTGGTCAGTACTTAGATGGATGATCACTTGGGAATACCAGGTGCTGTAAGCTTAAATGTGTGGGTGGTGTAATGAATAATAGCTCAGAATAGGAAATCGAGAGCTCTTCCAATTCCAGTCTCTCGCTATATTCACTTACGTGCAAATACCCTTGGGAAATATATAAACCGATCAAATCCCAGAAAAGCATTTTATTTCCGTTTTTCTTTTTGAGGTCAAGTTGTTTCATCCTGCTTAATCTGTACTTATTAAAAAAGAAGCAGAAGAAGAAGAAAAAGAAGAAAAGGAAAAGAAAAGGCGAACTAAAAAAGCCGCCTGTAAACATTTTTGACAAAAAAAAAATCAGAAAACGAAAAGAGTAAATTAAACAAAATTAAAAAAAAAAAATTCAGACGTTGTGAATTTTTTATCCACATAAATTCCAAAGAATTAAACCTCCGCCATTTGTTAGAAAAAGAAAGAAAATTCGATAGATTTTTTCATTCAGTATCACTGTAAATTTTTCCAGTTTATATTGTTTTTATTAACACACACACACACACACACACACACACACACACACACACACACACACACACTTAACCTTGCTAGCTAGCTAGAAAACAGGCTGTCTACATATACAAAATGTGTTGAGATAGATAGATTTGAAGGAACGGATAGATAGATAGATAGATAGATAGATTTGAAGGAACAGATAGATAGATAGATAGATAGATAGATAGATAGATAGATAGATACATTTGAAGGAACTGATAGATAGATAGATAGATAGATAGATAGATAGATAGATAGATGGATTACTACTACACACAAAAAACCCATCAGAAAACATAAGGAAAGTATTAATTCCTTTAAATAATAAGTGGAAGTAAACACTCTTCGCCTGATGAAGGTCACAAAACCCGAAACACGGTGGCATGACATAATTTCATGCACATCGCAATCTGTGTATACACTGATCATTACATAATTTTAATTTTAAAAAAAATTAATTACATAATTTTAATTTAAAAAAAAAATCACTTTTTCGCAATGTTGGCTCAGTTATATATTATACTGTGATCACAGTTTTTCAATTTAAAAGTATATATATATATGTCATTTAAAATAAACAGGATTTCTATATATACATGTAAAAGAAATTGTGAATATTATTTTTTTATATTAAGCATAAAAGTTTATTACTTATTCTTTTTAAATAAACAAAACTAACCATAATTTTCATTAAAAATAAATCTAGATCAAAGTATTTAAACATTATATATATATATATATATATATATATATATATATATATATATATATATGTGTGTGTGTGTGTATACATATACGAAGCCACATATTTCATTAACCACGATTTCATTAACCATATAGGCGTAAAGCACTCCAAAGTAAAATCTCAAATTCTAGTCGAAAATTAGTTAGATATAAAAGAAAAATAAATAAATAAATAAAAATAGAAATTTAATCCAATGCGAGCTAATCAGCCATACCATCCTCTTCTCTTCACAAATTCTTTTCCTCTTTACCTACTCTTCCATCCACAAGCCAAGGGCCTGTGAACTCTGAAGCGACCCGACGCAATAACGACAATGAAATTTCGCAACTTGTGTCTGTTCTTCGTTGATTCCCTTGTGTTGCTTCCATTTCTGAGTGAATACCGTGAAAAGATCCTACGTTTTCTTTTTTTTAATAATTCGCCTCCACACTTGAAACTAAAATTGGTAATTTTCTATAGACGAAAGCGCAACTAAAAACACGGACGATTTCCCACTGCTTTTTTACTTGACAAAAATCGTCGTCGTTAACATCCTGTATTAATTTAGCATTTATACGTTCCACTTTTATTTTTATATACGGAGGTGGGAAAGATGTCAGTTTCGGAAATGTGTTACGACTTCCACTCAAAAATCTAAATATGACAATGGATTTTTCAGATTTGTCCTCTATATAAGAACAGATTTTCACCAACTACAAACATTGCGATCTTACAAACAGATCTGTAAAGTTCTCCGCTCGAAAGAATTGTTTCAACAATATTTGCTTGATATCAACAAATCGACTTGTATCTTTCATCAACTGCCAGGGACCAACATATCCTATCACATCGTGCTATAAAAGAAAGTCGTATTCTAATCATCGTTAATATTGTATACTGAAAGAAAAAGTAAGTGGCAGATAAGTTTGTTGTTAATTTTTCACTTGAATTTTATTTATGATGCTATAGTTTTTATTAAGTTTTGTATTTATTTCTTTATTTATCTCTTTGACGATTTCTGGATGATATTTCTCTCTTTTCTTTTTTAAAGTGCATTTTCTCAGAAGTCATTCTACCTTCGTCGTCGTTATATTGGCTGCGTGTGTGTCACTCATCCATGGTGCACCAACATCGACTACAGTCGAAACAAACAGGAAAGACTTAAAAAGAGACATACATTCAGCCTCAGAAATCACCACAGTTGTATTGACGGCAATAAACTATACACTTCAAAGTTATGTAAGTGTTTCCCTTTCTTATTAAGATTTCACAGAATAATCTTTGACACTAAACATTTTTAATTTTACGTTTAATAAATTAATTCTATCTTTCGATCATTTGAATCATAATCATTGATTAATAAATTTACATAGATTTTTATATAAATTACCAGATTTAATAATTTTGTGAAAATTGCCTCTTTAGTTTTTTTACATTGCATCTCCGTTTTCAGTGCTAGAAATATTAATAGAAAAGATATTTTAATTTTTTCCTTTCTTTTTGATTGTAGTGTATACACGTTCCATTGTTGTTCACCTCCAACTGCAAGGAATTCGTCACCATGCTGAAGACCAGAGTTGATTCGCTCCTACCACAGACGGTTAACGACAACAAATTGAATTTTCAGGACGTCGGATCTATCCAGGTAAATTTCCAGTTCCTGTTTAACATTCATTTACTGTTTAACTTCTGTAATTTCGTTTTACTTTCCCCAGCATATGTTCGAGAAAACGAATGAAATCGTAAATGATATATTTAAGTGAAAAATGAATTGGTGAAAACATATTTGGCATGCAATTTCAATATAGACCCTGTTTCAAAAGTTCAGGCATATTTCATTCTTTTTGTAAACTCATATTCTGAGCGTGCCGTAAAATAATCCCAGAAAAGGATTTAGAAGCAAAAATATTTTTTATTCATTCATCAAAATGTATTAATTTCTTAGGCATCGAAACGATTTGAATCAACTATCTGCATTACATAAATTTTCTGTCTGTCATATCGGCACAAAATTTATTGGAAAAATCATAGAATATTAAATATATCTTTCATTGATAAAGTTTTTTATAATTTCGCATCATTATCTGTTTTGTATTTCAGGAGGCTATAATCAACATAAGTCGAACAGTCAGTCAATATTTGAATCTGGTAAAACAACATTTGGATATCGAATGTAACATTGTGTGTGAGCCTGCAAGAAAAATCGAACTCGAATGTCATTTTCCGAAAGACTGTCCTTCTCTGCCTGACACCAATGACGCCATCTTTTATTGCAATCTTCATATGACTTACAGTCACATTGAAAGCTTGAAGCGCCAGTTGTCGGTGAGTTAATTACATTCGAAAATAATTTATATAATTTATTACATGTCCTTAATTTATAAACTTTTTAATCGACATTTTTAAATAACGGAACGGATTCAAATAGAAAATGGAAATTATTTCCCAGCTTAACATTAATCGACGTATGATATTCAGTGACGTTTCTTTAATATGTGACAATTTCATATGTGTTTTTCTTTCTATTACAGATTTCAGATTCTGATCTGACAAATGGTGATACGAGCAATCAACCCATTCTGCCTCGAAATCTCCCAATTCTGTACGGCCGATGGTTAACCATGCTAACACTACAAACGTTGTATAATCAAGTAAAGTCCGTTCAACAAACACTGATTGCAATGTCGCATGGGCTTTAGAAATGTGATGTAAACACAAAGATCAATGATACATGTGTGTCATTTCACCAAAGTGGAAGCGTTTTCGACTTCAGATACATATTTTTATTCAAACAGATTCTGCTATCAAAATATGTTTAATTTATAATTATTTTTCATATTAATATTTTTTTAGCATTAATCAGAATATTATATAAAAAATACAAATTATACATTTATTAATTTAAAACCTATTTTTACAAACTTTTGCTTGAATTTTTTTTTTTTTTTTTTTCCTCTTCAATGGACACGATTTTTTCATTTTATGAAATTTTCAAATGAAAATAAATCTATTTATAAACGAAATGCGTCTTTTTTTTATTTCACTTTCTTGTTCATTTTTCATTTTCAAAGATTTTATTATTGAAATCTAAATATAGATTTTTTGCGTTGTATTATCACTTCAACATTTTTGTCTTGTTCAATGAATCCATTTTTTATAGCAAATAATCATCGTTAATGCTTGTACGGTAATTTAAAAAGTGAAAATTCAGAATTTTTTACTTTATTTTGTTATCGTGTTGATTTCTTAATGTCTAATGAATTTCAGCCTCGTTTTCAGATTTCTTAATTCATTAATATATTGCTTTTACCTGTCATCAAGTGTTTTTTTTTTTTTTTTTTAAGAGAAATACAAATGATTTATTGGCGCCGATTCCATTTCATCTGTAAAACGATTCCCATCTACATGAGTTCATTTAGAGGATTATATTTTTTTCATTACGAAGAAATATTTTAAATATTTCCATTCATAATTTGTTCTGGTTATATATATATATATATATATATATATATATATATATATATATATATATATATATATATATATAAAGAAATATAATTTATGGGATTAGGTGGTAGCCACTGAAGCTGAGAGAACCCAAATTACCCTGTTATTTAACCCAGAATTAGGAGGAAATGGGTTCATGCCTTTCAAAAAGTAATTAGTGCAAAAGTGAATGCAACAAACAAGGCCGAAATTTGAACTTGGCTCTCCAATTCCATTTTCTGCGCCGAAAACCGCTACGGCACTCGGGGATTTACACTGGATTGAACACGTGATCATTTTCTGTAA